CATTGATGCCATTAGGTGGAATAAAAGTTATAAAGATTTCATGGCATTGATTGTTTGCTCTCTTGAAAATGCAGAATGAAAGTTGCATCGATGTAACCAATGTCCTGGTATTGAAGCGTTAAAAAGTTTTTTAGTGCAGGAGTTTATGGACCATGAGCATGAAGAAGATGTAGTATTTAAGCAATGGCAGAGTACAGATCGTACAACACTACTTTCACAGTCATTGCCACTAGATGAATTTATTGATTTATTATATGACAGTATTGACAACCTTACCACTCATTCATATATTGCAAAAACACAAAGTAGATACTTAAAAAACTGTAAAGAAAATCTTAACCAAAACGAATGCTTAATTTTAGGAGATTTTGCTGAAAACTATCAATATGTTGTTCAGGATGAGGTTCAAAGTTATCGCTGGAGCAAAAGTCAATGCTCACTTTATACAGTTGTACTTTATTTTATAGAGAACAAACTTCTTTTCTGATGGTTGTGCAGCACAATTTAAAAATTTTATCAATCTTTGTCATCACAGTAAAGACTTTGATTTAAATGCTGAATGGGTATTTTTTGCTATCAGTCATGGTAAATCCCCCTGTGATGGTATTGGTGGGACTGTTAAAAGAGTAGTATGTCAAGAAAGTCTAAAACAAATAACTACTTTTGTAAAGCCAAGATAAATGGAATTTATTTTAAGTTATTTTCAAAAGAAGAAATTGATCAAACACAACCACAATTAGAAAAAAGATATTTAGGTGGAAGAACAGTTCCTGGCACAAGGATGCATCATTATTTTATTCCAATTGCTCCAAACACTATAAGTTATAAAAAAATAAGTAGTGATGCATGCACTGAAATATTTGATATCATTCCAAAAAGCAAACATTATGTAGATATTTCATTAAATATTAAAAAAATGGATTATATTGCATGTTTTTAAGATGGATTTTGGTGGGTAGGGATTGCTGAATATGTAAGTGAGCTTGATATAAAAGTCAGATTCATGCATCCTTATGGACCAGGTAAAAACTTCTTTTGGCCAATAAGAACTGATGAGTGTTGGGTGCTCAATTCCGAAGTTATATGCCTAATTTCTACACCCACAACAATATCAGGTCGTACATACAACATAACTGATTTAGATTTGGAGAATATAAACTGTTGGTTACAAAAAAAAATTAATTATGCTTAAAATAATTTTGTTTTTATTTTATTTACCTAATTTGCATTTTAAATGTCTTTTATTTTTTTCAAATCCTTGGATTGTAGGCTGAGAAGGAGGGGTGGGGATTTAAATAAATCACAAATCACTCCCATCTTATTATGTCAATGACTATATTAGTCTAAAACTACATAAAGATATTTATTGTCAATATGTTTTAAAAACATTTTAAAACATTTTTTTTGAAATTTATGACTTAAAATCGTAAAAAGAGCTTTGAAATAAGAGGTAAGTATTTATCGATTTGAAGTAACGCAAATAAATCGTTTCTCAAACTTAAACTGAAAAAATATGTTTTTAAAATGTATTTTAACAATCAACTATTATTTATTCATTTTATAATTAAAAAAAAAAAAAAAATCTAGGGAAATTTGGGGAGGGGGCGGAGGGGCCTCCCGTGGGTAGGGAGGGCATCTCCCTTGGCCCATGACTTTAAATGTTTATTTAAATTTAAACTAGTCAATAAATAACACTATTTGGTGTTTTATTCAAATAAATGTTTAAAAAAATATTTTAATTGCTTTTGTTACAAAATTTAAATTTTTCTAAAAAGACACCATTTTTAAATGCAAATTTTGATCATGTATTAGAGAGACAATTGATGAATCTAATTTTTTTCAGTAGACCTAAGATGAAATAATGATATACAATTAAAATTTTTACTCGGGATTTTGGGCCACAGTCTTTATTTTACCTCCAAAAATCACTAACTTACAAGTCAATAGTTTTGAACAAATTGGATAAATGAGGCATTTCTTGAGATAATCTTAGTCTTAAGAGTGCTATTTTTGGATTCCTCAAGTTAAAATCTATTAGAGTACCAAATTTTAGGAAATTTGATCAAGCCATTATGAAGATACTGTATGTCAAAGTTGCTTTGTAGTCGCTTCAGAAAATCACTAAAATGCTGAGTCAGCATTATTTCAACTGACGATATCTCTGGAACCCATTGGTATTTTCAACTAAAATTTTTGCAGTTATTATTTTTTTGATATGGACTGCAAGTTGTGTAAAAATAAACAAATTCTGAGACGTAAGGGTGTCGAAAATTTTTTTTGTGGATGATTTCATATATTTTTACCCATGAAGAGTCGTGGAAATGTCATAAAAATGTCATGGAAAAGTCATGGAACTTTATTTTCTAATTTGAGTGGCAATCCTGTAAAATATTTGGTTATAATAAAATTGTAAAATATGTTTTTAATAAAGTTTGTCATTATTTTATAACCAAAATAAACAATAAGTTTTTATTAGTTAAAATTAAAATCTTTTTGAAGTACTGAGTGTTTAATTTTCTTTTTTTAATTTCTTCTTTTCTTTCATTTCCCTGCATATATGTAAAGCAGTTGATTATCTCGCTTTTATTCCGATTTTCACTTAGCTTCTTTTAATGATAGTTGTTGATAGATCATCTCAAATATATCAAACGCAATGTCAGACAAAGTTGCAGTTAACCATCTTACCATAAGCCAACTGTGTGACACTTGGGGGGAAAGTTTGAATAAGCTAAACTGACAGTTGCATAAACTCTCTTAAAATAAAATAGAGAGTTTATATACATTGTCTATCAAACAACTTTATGACTAAGATGATGTAATGTTAAATAGAATTGTTCGGCAAAAACTCTGCCATGAATGGTACGATAGTGAATATTTGAAGTACGTCATGTATGATGGTAGAGAAGAAAAACTTGAAAAAACAAAATGAGACAAAGTTTACTGGAATAAAGATAATACTGATACTGAAGCTGTTGACTACAACATGAAAAAATTACAGCTTCCGCTGATGTTGGACCTGGAGAGTTGATCTTTTTTTAAAGTGTAATATGTAACAAGCTATAATATTACTTGTAATGAAACTTTCAAAATAGATACCGCATGTGATGAAACCTGCATAAAGGTATCGCAAATCATAAAACTTGAAAAGATAGTCATATCAAGTCAGGTATGCTAGGTACTAAACTATATATTTTTAATTTTCTTTTTTTCATAAATGTTTTAAGAGAAAAATAAAAATATTTGACTTTGCACAAGTGTTGTGACTTGCAAAATATTTTGATAAGCGGCTCTGGCTTCTTCACGATATTCACATTGCGTCAATCTTTACAAATGATTATTATAGTGTTCCATTTATGAAATTGATTATTTTAATTATTTACTAAAAGCCAAGACAACTATTTAAACTTAGGGTATCTAAAATGTTTTAGTACAGAACAATATAAAATTGATTGTTACATTTTTTATATAGGATACAACACAGATATTTTTGGTAATGAAATAAAACATATTTAATGAAATATCAAAAAATGAAATTTACTAATTTATTTTGTTTGTTAAAGATACAATTATTTTTAAGAATTAAATATCTATTTATTTTAGGATGTGGGTAACCATTACCACCCTATTTAACAAACTTCTCAACTTAACCAAAATTTACGAATAGCAGCGAAAAGACTTTTTCTTCAAAAGTAGGCTTGGTTGTGGTATTCAGCTTTAGCTTCTAGGTTATACCTGGTGCCAAAAGCATAATTAAGGTTTTAAATTGTTAATTCATTTTAAAATAATTAAATTGTTATTATAAAGATTTATTTATTTTATTTGTTTTTTTAGGTTGGGTGGGGGGAGGCTCAAGCCTCTCCCACAAGTCAATAAGCACACCACCAATAAATGAAATTCTTGTAAATAAATTTTTTTTAATGTTTTTTATACTGTGTACTAGTTTCACTTATTTTGTTAAATATAGAAATATTTATAATTAGAGAACTAAATATTTTTAAAATTAGGGTGTGTTAAACCATCACCACCATATCCACCACCAACTTTAATATACATCAATCATTATTGTTGGTTTGGAATAAAAATATAGCAACTTTTTGTATTAAAAAAAAATTACCGTTTGCTGAAAAAAAACACTCTTTATTGAAAGAATTATGCTAATTTTTAGGGGGGGTGATGGTTCAACACCCCCTTTAGCCCGCAGGAAATGCCCAATAGGTGGACGATGTTATAAATTTGTTACCCACTGTTACACCTATCTTTTGATACCAATTTACAGTTATTTAGATTATAAAAATTTAAGTGAAAAAAAGTTAACTTTTGACCAAAGTTTCTTCAACAACATATATAAAAAATTTGCAACTAAAAACGTCATAACTTTTTGTAGAATAGTTCGATTTTAATAATTTTTCATCTTTAAAATACTGTATTGAAGCCCTTTCCAATGATATATAACAATCTAGCCTTTGATCAATTTAAAATTTTCAATCCACATACCTAACAAATGGCTCATGTTTCTTCTTTACTTAAGAAGCAGTATTTCATACTTATTAGGTTTAATCTTAGCAGTCTTAGCTTATAAGTGATTCTAAACAGACCAGTAATAACTTTACTTGACTTACAAAGAACCATTCAATTTGCTTGTTCTTTGACTTTAAATCTTGGAAATATTGACATCATACATTGAGTACTTGAAAAATTTATGCAATTATGAGGTGAGGTAGAGCTAAACTGAACTGATGATTATCTACACTTATTTTATACATAAAACTTAAATTATGTAGTAAATATAATAACAAACTATTTTCAATATTAATGATATATAGCTATATGTTTTACGAACTATGAGGCATTCTAGTTAAAAAAAATATTATTTTTTCCTGTTGATAATCTTTTAATATCCACGGACATCATAGATAAATTTTTTAATAATTAAAATAGATGAAATAACTGACATGTACTTTACAATCTTATTAATCAATAGCTACGTGAATAAAAATTACCTTTTAATAATTAAAGGTTCCAATAGAACAAAAAAAACTTAACCAAAATAAATATAAACTAATACAATTGTAAATATATTAGCGAAAATTTTAATAATAATTGTTGATTTTATTTATTTTTGATTAAATAAGTTCTTTGTAGAAAATCCAAAAATATGACTTTTTGCGCATTTTATTCGGACTTGAAGTATCATGGATTTTATTCATGGCTGTAAATAATAATATAATAAACCGTAAAATCGCCTAAGTTCGGTTTATGTTCGGTTACAATTAAGGATGCGTTGCGAATCCTCTGACAATTGGTTGTGTGAATCTTGCTGTTTTTCTGTGGTCAACGATATGTGCAAGAATTGCCAATAAACATACAAAGTTCATTTGAAGCGAAGTAGTGTTTTTTTGTTAGTTGAAAAAACCTTTTTAAATTAATTGAAAAATATATTTTTAGTTTTATTAATCAGTGACGTAGAGAATATGATAATGGCCAAAGTAATAAATTGTTGAATAGTTACTAAATACTACTAAATATATTTAAAAAAGCCTTTTTTTATGTGCTCCTTCTTGTTTTCAATGCCCCCAAAAGACTTTTTTTATGAACCCTGGGCGACGCCCTCCTTAGTTACCGAATAAAAACAACATAATTTTACAAAAAGACAATGTTTAAAAATTAGTTTTCATTAAATGTAAAGTTAATTTTGTGATACGTTTTTAGTATTTATCGGGAAGCTGAATAAGCGCGAATTGGCATATGTGCGAACTGGCATAAGTGCGAAGCGTTGCAAAAATTGGTATGAGTGCGAAATGGCATATGTGCGAATTGGCAAAAGTGTGCCAAAAGATTTTGCAAACATTGGCATAAGTGCGAATTGGCATAAGTGCAAACTGGCATAAGTAAGAAGCAGTTGTAAAAACTGGCACAAATGCAAACTGGCATAAGTGCGCCGAACAAATTTGCAAACATCGGCATAAGTGCGAATTGGCATAAGTGCGCCGAACAAACTTGCAAACATTGGCATAAGTACGAATTAGCATAAGTGCAAACTGGCATAACTGCAAATTGGCATAAGTGCGCCGAATAAATTTGCAAATATTGGCATAAGTGCAAATTAGTATTTTGCACTTATGCCGATTTGCGCTTATGCCAGTTTGCACTTATGCCAATGTTTGCAAATTTATTCGACGCACTTATGCCAATTCGCACTTATGCCAGTTCGCACTTATGCTAGTTTTCGTAACTGCTTCGCACTTATCCCAATTCGCAATTGTGCTGATTCGCACTTATGTCAATGTTTGTAAATTTATTTAGCACACTTATGCCAATACGCGCTTATGTCAGTTCGCACTAATACCAGTTTTTGTAACTGCCAGTTTGCAGATGTGCCAGTTTTTGCAACTAATTTGCACATATGCCAATGTTTTCAAAATCTTTTGGCGCACTTATGTCAATTTGCACTTATGCCAGTTCGCACTTGTGCCAGTTTTTGTAACTGTTTCGCATTTATGCTAGTTCGCACTTATGCCAATTCGTACTTATTTTATACAGCGGCCGAACTTATGAGATGGTATTGAAAGTTCGGTCATAGTAGATGTTTTCATTTTAAATTAAATATTGAGTATAGTTCTAATTTTAATTTTTTTTATTTTTACAATATCAATTATCAATATATATGTATGTGTCAAGAAAAAAAATTAAAAATTTTAAATTTATGCGTGATAAATCGGATTAAAGACTTTTTTTTTGAGCCCTGGGCGACGTTAAGAGAGCTTACCTTTTTTGAAAATACATTACATTTTGCATAAAATACTTACTACTTTTAGTTTAATTTTATATTTTTTATAGGTAAGTTAAATTTTTAATGATTAAAATTTTTTTTTCAACTGGAAATATTTAAATAATATTGAAAAAAATATTTATTAAAAAATTATGTATTTTTATTTTAAATAATAAAATATATATCTACATACAGTCTGTATATTGTATATTGTACAATATATACAACTAAATAAAACGGCTTTTGATTAGTCATGTATTGAGGAGTGTGCTGTACAGCTTGATTTAAGTTTTAGTAGTAGGGGGAGGAGGGGGTCCGAAATTCTATATTTCTTGTTTAACCAGTTATTCTTAATTAATTTTTTGAAAAAAGTTCAAAAAACAATTCAGTTTTTGCTAATTTTTTATGATCGACCTACTTTTATTTTAAAAGTTTAAAGATATAAAAAAGTCTTTGCAAAAGTTTCTTTGCGTATAAAGTTACGAAACTTTTCTTTCAAATTTATGAATTCAAATTTTGATTGGATCAATTTGATTTTTAATCGTTGCGTTTTAGAAAGAAAAAAAAGTTTTAACTGAAGTCTCTTTCTAAACAAAACGTTTTAAGTAATCCAAAAAACAGATTGCTTCAAAATATCTTAATTTTCTTTTTGTATTTATTTTTAATCGTTATTTAAGCTATTAAGAAGGCTATTTGAAATATAAAAGCTGTTTAGTAGAAGTGCAGTTAAATTCTAAAGTTTTAACAACTCTAAAGATAAACAGTTTGTATAAAGGAATACCGCTACCTAAAAGCTAGTTAAAAAAAATTCTACAAGCAGTTACTAAGTATATCTCAAAGAGATTGAATGATTGTATTATTCTTGCTAGAGTATTTTGGCAAAAGGTAGCCTTAGGACTTCAAAGAGAAAAGTATTATGTGTTTGGTTGATGATGGAATATGATTAGTATTAACTTTCTAATTAAGTTGTTGCAGTTGGAAAGCTTTGGAAAAAACCCATTTAATTTCAACAGTGGATGTATACTTAATTATTTAAAAAATGAAGGTTATTGTCTGATTAATTATCCAAAAAGTTGAAACTATGGAATAAAGTTTACTAATATACTATACACATTATTTATATATATATATATATATATATATATATATATATATATATATATATATATATATATATATATATATATATATATATATATATATATATATATATATATATATATATATATATATATATATATTATTACCTAGTATTATTGAAACAAAATTTCTCTTTGCTAAAGCAAAACTTTTTTTTCCACTTTTTCCATCTCTTGAATAATATGCAAGAACATTTTCCTTCTACAAACTCCTCAATATATGTAGACCACACGGATAAAACCATAGATGTCACATTTTTCTCATTTTAAGAAAAATGAAATTTAGTGATTAGTGACATTAGATATTTGTTTATTAATAATTTATTTAATTAAAAATTGTTCTTTTGAAAACAAGACACTCATTTTGGACTGTGGTTTTTCCGTTGTAAACTCATCAACTCATAAATTACGTTAGCTTGTAACCTTTTAGAGCACTATTTTTTTTTAAGGTATATAGTAACACATTGTAATATACAACTACAACGTACTAAGTGTGTGATGGGATAATAAAACCATCCCCCCCTTTTTTTAATAAAAAAGATTCAAACAAAATATTATATGAAAGTTTTATTTAACTTTATACAAAATAGCATTGCAACCTTATCTCTTCCCCAACCTCATCTATTTACCACAGATAATTCCATGTTGTCTGTGCTCCATCACTTTATATCAAGTTTGTATAAACCATATGTATGGTTTCAGTGCCATAGCAAGTGGGTCTGGAGCCCCACCAAAACTAGTAATTTGGGCCCCAATTTTTTATTTGTATATTAAAGAGTGGATAAAATTTAGACTACCCCGGAAAGCTAAAACCAATCAAATTAACGCTTAAATTCAATTAAATATACTTTATAATTGTTAAATTAATATAGAGTTTACTAGTAAAGAGTTTTTTTAAATACTATTAATTTATTACGCAGATAATACAAGTACGTCGCAAACATTTAAAAAAAGAGTTTGCGACGTGTTTTCATGCTTGCAAACTCATTTATCATGCCTTCATAACTTAATTTCCTTGCAACCTCGATTTCAATCGAAAGCGTTGCTAAAGAAGACAAACGTTCATCGACCATAGTTGACCTATTTAAAGATGCAAAGAAATATAGCTACATTTATTTATGTATAATGAAGCAAGATTATTTATGCTAACCTATAGAAAGTTTTAATTAGTTTTAACTTGCTAAAGCTACGTTCTGCACTTGCAACAAAAACTGATAAAGTAAGAGTGATTTGTAATGTAACAGCTGATTGGGATAAGTTTCTTGCAGCTCTTTTTTGAGGCATTTTTTTCCTGAAAAAGCTTACTTGATTTGTTGATTTGAAATAAAATATTATACCAAATAATGATTGATAATAAAAAAGGCCATGTTCTAATATATTCCGTGAGCGATCGTACTTCTGTGGCTGTAGCCCTATCTATCTTCTAAGCCATGTTCTTCCAAACTTTCGAGTGCCTCTAAGATTTTTTGTAAGTAACAGTTAAGTGGTTTAACACAATTTATTCTACTTTCCCATCTGGTATCTGATTGTAGTTTGACAGAAACAGCCACGCACAAGTTTAAAATTTCCCAATAGAGGAGAAAATGAAAAGAATGTATATAACCTTGAAAGAAAACCAAAAAACAAAATTGCACTAATAGATGACGAATGCTCATTTTTTCTTTATGCAAAACGCATGGCGTACAATCTAAAATAATATAATAATATCTTTCTTTTTTTACCTTAGACAGGTTTTTGGATTCAATCTCCTCCTCGAACCTCGTTCTGTGTGTCATTGCTCAAATAGTGCTCCTTGGTTTCTTTGTCCTAAATTCTTTGCATAAGATCATTGAGAACATTATTGTACTTAGCCAGTAATTCAAACACCCCAAGAAAGTTTCCATTGCTCTTTGAACCAATGGCTGTGTCTGAACCACGTAATTTAAGATTTCTTGCAGAAAGAAATAAGGTATCCTTTCTAACACTGCACTGCATAGATAAGCAACTTTTGTTGTTGCTCGTCTATGGTAGCTTGATTTGCAATGCCTGCATTACCAAAATTAAGGGAAAATTGATTAGGAAAAAATAGTAACAAAGCAATAAATTAAAAGAAATATGAGTTAACCTTTTCGTTAAGTCATCCAGTATTCAAAGTACTT